GTCTCAAAGGGTAGGGCCAAGAATTCTGAGGCTTCAGAGGGTGGAACCATGGCATGTTGGGGCTCATAGGGTGGGGCCACGGCTTCTTAGGTTTGAAAGTCAAATCTTCATCAACTCAGTTCTGGAGTGTGGGGCTGCCTTTCACAAGTGCCAGGGGGATGGGGCCAGAGCCACTGCCCAAAGCCGAGGGAGTGGGGCTGCCATGCCCAAAGGGCAGAAGAATGGAGACTGCTGGAAGCAAGGTGTGGAGTCACCACTCAGATGGACTAGGAGAATGGGTCCACCCAAAGCCAAGGGAGCAGAGTTGTCATCCCAGAGGGCCTGAAAGGTGGAGCTGAAGCCCAGAACCAAGGGGCCTCCAACCAGAATCCAGAGAACATGGCTAACACTCAGAGTCTGGAGGGCAGGGCCACTCCCTAGAAGGTCTCAGAGAACAGAGGATTATTTTCAAGACTTGAGAGCTAATGTAAATTGTTTTGCTGGGTTTTTTTTACTTGCCTAGTGCCTGTTATTCCTTTTTTTTTCCCTCCAGTTTCTCCCATTTGTAATGGAAATGTCTAGCTCGTGCCTGTTCTGCCATTGTACCTTTGGAAGCAGATAACTTGTATTCTAGATTTCACAGATGAAGAGGAATTTGCAGAAGATGAGATTTTGGAGTTGGAGTTGATTTAAGACTTTCGGTATGATATGATGGGATGAATGTGTTTTATATGTAGCAAGGAAATAAATTTTTGGAGGTCAAAGGGTGGAATGTTATCAATTGAATTGTGTCCTCCAAAAATATGTGTCAACTTGGCTAGGCTATGATTTCCAGTATTGTGTTCCATTTTGTGATCTGATGTTAATGAGGTAGGATTAGAGGCAATTATGTTAATGACACAGGGCACAATCTATAGGATTAGGTTCTATCTTGAGTCAATCTCTTTGGATATATAAAAGAGAGAAGTGAGCAGAGAGGATAGGGACCTCATGCTGCCAAGAAAGAAGTACCAGGAATGGAGCACATCTTTTGGACCCAGGGTCCCAGCACTGAGAAATTCTAGACCCAGGAGAAGATTGATGACAAAGACCTTCCCCCAGAGCTGGCAGAGAGAGAGAGAAAGCCTTCTCCTGGATCTGACTTACTGAATTCAGACTTCTAGCCTTCTAAACTGAGAGAATAAATTTCTATTTGTTAAAGCCAGTTACTTGGGGTATTTCTGTTATAGCAACACTAGATAAATAAGACAGGATGTAAGCCACATGACAGAATATGTATAAAATACAGACCATTACAGAGACATGGGGTCATCATTTAAAGAGTAGCAGAATTCTGAAAATAGGGTGCAGCGAGGGAACTAGACAAGGAATGAGAGGAGATCTTACAGGGATCTGTGCAGCTATGGGAAAAGATTTAGGGCAGAGGCTGAGGGATGGTGCCAGCTAGTGGCAGAAGCAATGGGCTGTTTAATGATGAATGTGATGGTTTTGGAAATAAATTTGTTGATTTTGATCTGCTGATGGGAGTCCTGGGCCAGCAATGTAACCTCCTAGAAGATAGGAAAGGAGGCAAGCAACATCACTTTTGGGGTTGTGGTCAAATGATTTCCTTTATGTGCCCTTTTGCCTTGGTTCTTTGGAAAAACAGCTTGAGAGATTTTTTTTTTTCCCTAAGCCCTGAGGAATTACCTTTGCCCTAGTTTTCTACCCCAGAAGGTTAGTTCCTTTTGTCCAGGTTGATGGATATTTCCAAGGTAAAGCTGTAAACAACTTGTTTTGACACTTATGTCTGGTCCTGAGCTGCAGCCTACACTGTGACTGGTATGCACCTTGCAGGGATTGTCAATAGGCTATGCAAATGAAGTGTCTGCAACCTATTATGCAAATGAAGTGTCTGTGGCCTACACAGCCAAGAGAAACTGAGAGAGCTGTCTTGAAGGGAGACTTTGCCTACATGCTTCCTGATCCTGATCCCAAGTTGTAGTCTGTTGATCCTGATGCCAAGTTTTATCATTACTTCCTTAATAAACCACTTAACTGTAAGTACAGTTCACGAGTTCTGTGAGACATCGCAGCAAATTGCTGAACCCAAACAGGAGAGGGAAGAGTGCTGAGGCAAGGGAGAGTGGCCAGTGTCAGAGATGGAGTGGTATAGCGGCTTGGGGAACGAGGAAGTCTGGGATATATTTGACCTCTGCCTCATAGGAATTGGCTTTGTGCTGATTCTTATATTTCAAGTTATTCATACAGGATGAATGAATTTTTTCTGAAAAGTATCTAGAAAGCCTCATAAAAATAAAGGGACAAATAATGACTAGCTACACATGTTTCTAAGCCCTTGATTTGTTCTTTTGCTCAATGCTTGTTAATTTTTTTATTAGAAACTCAAGAGTTAGGAGGAAAATGGGTGATAGGGTTCTGGACTCAGTGGTCCCTCAGCTCAATTTCAGAAAGCCTGAGTAATTAACCATGTGACTAGCTGCTTGGTGCCCTGATATGGAAATGGGGAAGGAGGCCTGTGGCCAAGGATAAAGAAGGTGATTCACGTTACAAGACTTCTACAGTGTCTACCATGCACTTCTGTGGTAGAATTCTTGTTTTCCATGTGGGAGACCCAGGCTCGATTCTTGGCCAGTGTGCCTCATTCATAGCCATCACCCATCTGTCAGTGGAGGCTTGCATGTTGCTATGATCCTGAATAGGTTTCAATGAAACTTCCAGACTAAGACAAAACAAGAAAGAAAGGCCTGGCAAACTTCTTCTGAAAATCTGCCCATGAAAACCCCACGGACCACAATGGTCCAGTTCACAACCAATGACCAAGATGATGCAGGACCAGGCAGCATTTCATTCCATTATGCATGGAGTCGCCATGAGCCGGGGCCAACTCAATGGCAGAAACAACAAAAACAACTGTGTAGTGAGGATAGTTCTTCCTGTCTTTTTCCTCTACCTGTTTTTTTTCCTCCTGTGACACTTCCCCCTGCTATCCCAGTGCTGACGTTTTGGGTTAAGCCTCATTGTCACGAGGGGTCTCAGCAAATATATTTTACAAAGAGCCTTGCTCCTTCAAAACAGTAACCCTGTAAAACATAGAAACACATTCTGGGTTTCATAGAGATCCAGAATGTATGAAAAAAGCTTTTTTTTTTTAGTGTATATATGTACTATAATTTTTAAGCATGTTTTCACTCCCCGCTTATTTGGTTAATTAGTGCTGAACTAAATCAAGATAGGTCTCTCCAAGACGCCAGGAACATAACACACTGCCCCTAGGCCCTGACCTGGACTTGCATAGTGACACGTCATTCAAAGTCTACTAATTTGGGTTCATCACATGACAAGGTGGCAGGCATGGAATTTATCAAACGTGGAGACAACACTTGCAGAGCCTCTGATCTCTGAGCATCAGCTCCATGCACCCCACAGTGGGAGCAGGTCTTTAATCACATGCCCTGTGACAGCTGGAGTCCTAGAAAAGACCCAGGCCAGGGACAGGATATACTGATTCTGATGACACACTTTTTCTAAGTAATTGGAGCTCCTTAAAGAAGACTTTCCCAAAGTTGGCTGCAAATGGCAATAACCAGTGGGGCTTAAATATTTAAAATATCATGTTCTCATGATTCTGCTTGAATAAAGATGGGGGATGGCCTGGTCTCTAGAATATTTTTAAGATGAGTCCAATGGAGTTGTTGTGTAGACTCTGACTTAGGGAAAAAGAGCAGAGCATCCCAATTTCCCAATGTGAACTGGAACTTAAAGGTAAAAGTGATTCAGCCATAAGCAACGATAAATAGAGTTCAAGGAGGGCCTAGATCCTTGTCCAGCATAGAGTCCACATGCAGGGCCTCAACCCTTCTGAGCCTGATTGCTCTCATATCCAGAGGGGTAACAGGGAGTTTTGCTGACCACACAGAACTTCCCTTGTAAATACATCCTCATCAAAATGTAGGGGGTGTTACAATCCCTATACACAGGTTGGTCAAAAGGACAGAAGCTGCATGATCCTCCATCATTTTACTGTACCCAGCGGAGCTGCCCAGATCAGTGTCAGGAAATTCTGTCCCATCAATGCTTATGACCACTTCAGGGTAACGGGTCTGCCAGGAGAGGGACAGCATTCCAGCCAAGGGTTACTTAAATTAGAGTTCCAGGAACCCAGGAGAGAGCAGTGAGGAACCTTCTAGCCCCCTATGCTGAAGTAACCTCCAGGGGCAACTTCCCCTACCCCTCACCCCACCTGTGCCCCTAAGATGCACATAACCTCCCTCTCTCTTCACTCCAAGCCCTGCTCCCCTCCAGGACCTGATAAGAGAGAGGTTCACGAAAGGATGGTGTGTATCCCCACAGTGCCCATGCAAGGGGAGAAAGTGGTGTTGACAGCCATGGAGGCCAGGTTGTGTCCAGGTGGGGGATGCATGCATCAGGAGCAGTGGGGCATGCAGGGTTGAGCCACCACCTCCTGAGGTCATCAGAAGCCCTGGTGACAGCCTTCTTGTCACTCAAGCAGCCCCTCTGTCTATCTCAGTTACCCACCCTATCCCTGTGTCAGAGCATGGCCCTCCTGAGAAGGGCTGCCCCCTGTGAGCCCAAGTCCCTAAGATGGAAGGAGATGGGACACAGGGACTGATCCCTGGAAAATTTTTAAATAGAATGGATGAGGGACACGGGAGCTCCAAGAATGGAAGAAGAAATAAATGAATGAAACCAACCAGGGAAGGGGGTCTTACACGAACCTGTAGCAACTGCTTGACATGACCTGGGGAGTTTGATTTACTCAACACTCTGCACCTACCCCAAAAATAATAACAATAATGATAAGAAAATACCATCACTTATCCCTGCAGTGATGTCCATGGAAATTAGATTAGAAGGGAGAATGCAGAACTGGTCAGGGACACAGAATATGCTCCGAGATGCCTTTAATTGCTCAGGTGCCTGCGTAGACACAGAACTGACCACTGCTCTCTAGCGGAAGAGGAGACTCCACTGTGAAAAGCCAGGGGCTCCTTTCCCACCTACTCATCCACGCAGGTGCTGTTCAGGAGTGTGAACTTGGTATAGATAGGGAGGGCATCCACGAGAAAAGAGCAGCGGACCTAAAGGAGAGTAATTATAGGAGATAAAATTAGAAAAATACATTACATTGGGAGCATTTAGCACGTAGTACAAATTAGAGCCTCGAGATGCATTAAAACTACAAAATGATGAATAGCAAACACAATCTCCTGGGGCCAGGACATCACAGGAATTTGGGGTAGGGATTGCTGAATGAGACACCTGAGCCCGGAGGCTCCTGAGAGGGAGTCTGGTTGGTGCGTCTCCTGCCCCTGAAGGACTCCTGTCCCCTCACAGCCTCCCCATGCACATGATGCTGCAGCAGTCCCCTGTATGGCCCAGCCATACAACCTCCAACTAGGCAGCAGTGTGAACCAGCCCCAACGAGAGGCCCTCCCAAGGCTACAATTTGGCAGGGCAAGACCAGCCCACTGAGGGCATCCACCCTGATGGAGGCCCATCCTATCCTCCACCTGCAGGACCCCTGTGTGGGCCGCCAGCTCATAGGATGGTGACATTAGAGCTCTGGCTGGCTGGGAACTCTCCGTGAGACCCAGGAAACTACGAGGAGAGACTGGATGACCTCCAATCCCAAAGAGCAATAGAAGAGCAAGGACCACAGGGAGAACACCGTCTGCTTGCACCCCAAGGGACTAGGAAGGGAAAAAGTAGGACCTGTAGTGAGGGCTCTGCCTGGTGACGAAGGACATGTGGTGCTGGCAGGTCATCTCTGGTCGGCCAGTCTGGCTGTGGACAGAGGATCCATGGCTAGCCCTGGGAGCCAGGCTCTGTCTGCTTAAAATGACCACTCTGTCCCTCCAATGGGGGTACCCTGAAACCTGCTGGAGAGGGGTCAGGAACCCTCATTCTGCCTCAGGACCATTCCCAGGTGGTTTTCCTAAGCCTCTTCCCAAAGACCCTCTGAGGTGGTATTTTTCATTCCCACAAAATTCGTAATGCGTTTACAGGTAGTTTTTAATCTCAAACCTGTTTCTCTCCTGGGCCTTTTTGCAAGGGGCAGTTCTCAATGTCTTCTTCATGTTTTTTGCAAACTGTGCGGCCCATCTCCAAGTCCATTAAATATATCCAAGTAAGTCTCTGTCAAGAAGAAATCGTAGAAACTGCTGTGAAATAATTACTTATGAGAAACAGAGAACCAAGTAGAAAAGTGGACAGACGGCTAGACTATGCATATGCATATAAATAAGGATATACATATTACTTGCAATTTTTCTATATGTATATAATCAACAGAAAAAAATGTACGCAATTTCCCCTAAGACATGCACTAGAAAGTTCCAGAAGCACTCTTCCTAACAACCACATCAACAGTGCAACGAGTATGTAAAGTGTGGCACACTCACACAATCAGATGCTACACAGCATGAGCCTGCACACCCTACAGCAAACCTAACAGTACAATCAGTCTCTCAAACATGCTGGTGAGCAGCACAGGCCAGACGCAAGGACATGCTAAGCGAAGCCTATGTATAAAGTAGGAAAGCATGTGAAGCTAACCTATGGGATTAGAAAATCAAGGTCAAGCCATCCTTTGCAGGGAGTAGTGCCTGGATGGGGACGTGAAGGAGTTCCTAGGTGCTGGGAATGTTCTGTCTCTCATGTGGGTGCTGCTTGCAATAAAGTCTTATCTTGGAAACATTCACTGAGCTGAAAAGCCATGAGTCAGATGCTGCTCTATATGTGTACTAATATATTAATGAGACTGTATTGAAAGTTATTATTTTCACTTCCTTAGTTATGTTATTGTTGTTGTTAGCTGCCATTGTTGGCTTGACTGTCCAGTCCTGCGCCATCCCCATGACTGGTTGCAGATTGAAATTTTGTGATTCATAGAGTTTTCATTGGCTAATATTTTGGAAGTAGATCACCTGGCCTTTCCTAGTCCATCTTAGTCTGGAAGCTCCACTGAAACTTGTTCAGCATCATAACAACACAAAAGCCTCCACTGACGTAAATGAGTGGTGGCTGTGCATGAAGTGCACTGACCAGAAATCAAACCCAGGTCTCCAGCAAGGAAAGGGAGAATTCTTCCACTGAGCCACCACTGCATCCTCCTTAATCATAGACCCTTGAAAAGTTGGGAAAAACCCAGACAAAGAAAACAAATCCAGCCAGGAAGTAACCCAGGTGGGGCACACCTCTCACTGGGCTGACCTGGAGATCCTCTAGAGAGCTGGATTCGTTTGGCGCTCAGCCATTGACAAGTGATATCTGTTAGTACCCCAACACCCACACACATGCTCACTCATACAGGCTCCTCCCCCCTTGCAGGTCACCCAGACCCTGAGTTAGGACTGGGGACAGGGGCAGGGGCAGCAGCAGTGGAGTCATCCATGCCTGAGTGTTCCTGTGGGCCAGCCAGGGCCCAGGCTGGGGATCAGCCCAAAGGAGAGGCCACCATCAAACATGTGGGAGACATGAGGAAAGCTGGTGTGCTCTGTGCAGGGAGGGCAGGTACACAGACCCTCTTCCGGAAGTTTGTTGCAGATGTAGGACCCTCCATGTCAGGGTCCCTGCTGACATCACACTGACCTAGGGCTTCTCATCCAGGGGCAGATCTTTTGCAGTGGACAAAATTACTGTCCCAGGGTGGACTACCATCATGATTCCACTCAAAGTAAGCCAGGAAGAATGAGAATAAACGTCAGTGGGGAAGCGTCACGTAACCCGATGCCATTGAGCCCTAAATTTCTCTCCGGTCCAGCCCCTCCCTCCACTCAGACTTTGTAATCCACTGCCTCCATGCCCAATCCACTGCCATGCATCAGGAGTAATAAATGTGATACGTACTACCCAGACTCTTCTCTTCTGCCTCCTCTCTGCTTCCTCTAGCCACCATCTTCTCAGCTGGAAGAATCACCATCACCTATGGCTCATGGCAAATATGGGGGATGAGAGGCAACACCCTGAACACCACTCTTCTCTCACACCCACATCAGCTATTAGTGCTGGCTCTACCTCCAAGAAGAACCAGAAGCCAGAACTTCCTCCCCTTCTGGCCACCACCCTTGTCTCAGGGACTGTCCTCACCCACCTGTCCTGAGGTGCTCTCCTCACCCACTTGTGTCAAGTTTCCCCAAGCTTCAGTGGCCACTGTGCACCAGCACTAGGGAGATGCTTGCTGATGCAGGACTCAAGATTGTCACTGCACTGAGTCACCCCTCCACATCCTCTCATTACACTGAGGACAAAACCCTAACTCCTTACTAGGGACCAGAAGGCTCCAGGCAGCCACATCCTCCACCCCTGCCCACCTGCCTTTTACCACTTCTTTCCCTGGGACACAGGCTCGGACACCTCTGCCTGTGCCCCCAGCACACTTGGCTGGCCCCAGTCTCAGGGACCTTAGAAGGCTGTCTGGCTTTCTCTTCCCCAGCCCTTCCTCTTCTGGATCCTTCAGTCCTGCCCCTCCTGGAGAGGTCTCCCTGCTCACCGTCCAAACAGCTAGCCCTTCCAACACAACTCACTCCCCATGACCAGGCCACTATTTCACTCAAAGTTTTGGGTGTTTGCTCATCCCCTGACTATGGTCCTACTGCTTCCTGCACAGGCCCCACACACAGGGGCCGCTCCATAAATGTCTGCTGCTGTTACAACTGAAGGTCATCTCAGCCACGACTCAAGTGTCACTCAGGCCCAGCATTGTGTGCCGCAGGTCAGCTGGGCAGCTGGTCATTACTTGGGTGCGCCAGCCCCTGAGCCTGCAGTGTATCTCTGTGCCTAGCTTTTCTTCTGGATTTTTCTTTTCAGCTTCTGACCTACCTCTGCCATCCTTGACCCTCTCAATCATCTATCAGCTCTCCACTCCTCCACCTCACTCTGTAGCAGAATTTCTGACCCCTATGTTTTCCCTGGAGCCCTGGTGGCATTTGGCTGCTCACCAAAAGGTCGGTAGTTCGAATCCACCAGTAGCTCCTTGGAAACCCTATGGGGCAGTTCTACTCTGTCCTATAGGGTCACTATGATTTGAATTGACTCAATGGCAATGGAAAAAAAGAAACGTTTTCCTTAGCTTCTCTCTCTCCTTCTACCCTGTTGTCCAAGGGCTCCATTCTTTAAAGGAAACAAATCAGAAACGTGAAGCATTTCTGTGGAAACCTTCTAATTTTTAAATATTTACCAAATTAAAAAAAGCAGTGGCTCTTTTCTGCACACCAAGACCTCCTCAGCCCCAGGTCTGGCCCCAGGGTGAATGGGAGAGCAGGGGAGACAGGCCGTCTACGCACCTTGCGCTGGCTCCGCCGGATCCGCAGCAGCTTATAGGCGTACTCATCTACATTGTCCTCATTGTATTGAAATACGGCAAACTCCACTGACATCACAAAATAGCTCAGGTTCTTACTGATGTCCACAAACTCATAATGGATACTCCAGACCTGCGTCCTCAGCACCACGAGCCCCAGAAGCAGAGTCACCTGCTGGAGCATGGCTGTCTTCAGCATCAGCACTGGGGGCCTGGGGACTCACTGGCATACAGGGGCTGGGTTTGGAGGGCGTGGGGGGAAAGGAAGCTGCTGCTGACAGTGTCCTTCACAGCTCGGATCCCACACACCCTGCCTAGCAGAAGCCCTGAACTAGTATCTCCTCGCTCCAGCTGACGCCTCTGTCCAGCTCCTCCACTCTACTCCCCCACCAGTCCCTCCTGTTGTCACCAGACAGCGCGGCAGAAGGCCTTGGACACACAGACATGCATTAAACACATTCTGTTCACTGCACATCTCCAGGGCTGCCCCTTCTGTGCCACCCAGCCCCAGTAAAGACCTGGGGGTGGGGGTCTGTGCCCACCTCACCACCCTTACAGCAGTGTAGTCAAGCATGGGCAGAGTCTCAGGAACTCATAGGAGACATGATGGGCCTGGATTCCTGGGAGTGTAGTCAGAACTATCTCAGCCTGTAATCTTAGTTGCAGCCCATGACCTCCATATGAGCTTTGGTGGGGTGGTGGGCAGGGGTGGGGGTACACAGTGGAGGTCAGCATCTGACCTGTCCATGTGGGGCACCATCATCTCCACCTGCTGCACCCCATTCTTCTGCTAACCATCTCTCCCTCCTGCCCCAAGGCCTGGCTGTACTCTACAGTGAGGTAGAGGGCTTTCCAGTGTCCAGGGGTAGATGGTGAGAATGCCCAGGACAAGAGGGAGAAGGGCAGGGGCTGGGGAAGGGGAGGAGCTCTGCCTCACCCAGCTCTGCCCCCTTCTCCTCCCATGGCCTCTTCACAGAGGATCTGGGGGATCAACCCCAGCACAATCTTCTTCCCAGGGAAGCTGCTGGGAAGTGAAGGGGATAAGGGGAGTGAGAGTGCCAGGGAGTGTGAGAGCCACCCAAGTGTGTATGGATGTGCTCTGCACAGAAACCACCTCCGACCTGGGCTCTGGGCATTGAGCACCTGGGCACGTGTGATCTCAGAGATGGTGTGGACCTGGGCCACAGCCTTGAGCACAGGAAGTGATGAGGTATATGCAGAATACTGGACACCCTCTTGACTTGTCAGGCACCAATTGGTGGCCAACTGAGTCTGGGGCCTAAGGAACAGTGGGCCACCCACCTCATTGATTGTTCCCATCCTAGAAGCTGCAAGCACCAATCCTTGCCCATCTTTGTCATTCCTGGCCTTGGTTAATTATGTCTCATGGCCCTCTTTGAGATCTGCAGGATTGGTAATGAGGCCTCCTCTTCACTCCTGATGTGACTTATGATTATGATTATAACTCCATTTCTATATCTCTCTTGCCAAGGGTTAGCAGTCTATTAGACTTTTCAAAGAACCAAATTTTGGCATTCTTGATCCTCTCTATTGTGTCTTTGTTTTCTATTTTACTCATTTCTGCAATTTTGTTATAACTTCCTTTACTCTGTGTTCAATTTGCAGTTCTTTGTCTGGCTTCTTGAGCTGAAGACTAAGGTCACTGATTGCCCTCCTGCCCTTGCCCCAGCATATGCAACTCTGTGTGCTCCTCTCAGACTGACTTTAGGAGCATCCCCACATTTGTTACATCGTATGGTTTTAAGCACTTATTCCAAAACTATATCCTAATAACCGTTGGGATTACTTCTCTAGCCCCTGTGTTATTTAGAGATGTATTACTGAATTTCCAAACATTTGGGGGAGTTTCTAGATAACTTTTTTTTAGTTTCTACTTAAATTTCACTGTGGCCAAAGAACATACTCTGTGATTTCAATTCTTTAATGTTTGTTGAGATTTGCTTTATGGGTCAGAATATGCTCAGTTTTGATAAGTGGGCCTCCCAGCTCACAGAGGACATGCATTCTGCATTCTTGGATGAATATTCTACATAAGTCAAAGAGCAAATTTGTTACATGGAGTCTTGAATTTTTTTATGTATCTACTGATTTTCATTTTCTATCAACTAGGAAGAGTGGTGCTGTAATCTCTCCCACAAGGATTGTGGGTTGAGATCCAGTATGCAATGAGTTCTGACACCAACTGCCTCAAGTTGAGCCAAACTTCCCAGCTTAAGGGTTCAGCCCTCCAGAGACTTCCCTCACTTCAGACACCAATCACAAGCTTGAGGGTCCCCAGGTCACCCTTATTTCTGACCTGCTGCTTACAAGTTTGGGGGTCTCCAGTATCCCCTTAGGACACCAACCACTACCTCACGGGTACCTAGGCCTCTCTCACTTCTGATCTGATGGCTACAAGTTCGGGGGTTCCCACTATCTCCTCACATTCGATAATCTGCTAGAATGACTCACAGAACTCAGAAAAGTGCTATACTTACAATTACAGTTTTATTATAGCAAAAGGATGCCAATCAGCTGAAGAAAGAGATGCATAGGGTGAGGTCTGGGAGGGTCCCAAAATACAGAATGTTCATTGTCCTCAGGGACTAGTCACCCCCCTGGCGCATCAACGTGACAATATGAAAAATATTATTGTCAATCAGGGAAGCTCACTCAAGCCTAGGTGCTGACAGTTTTTAATTAGTTTTATTATGTAGGCAAGATTGATTGACTCATTAACCATGTGATTAAACTCAATCTCCAGCCCTTATCCCCTCCCTGAAGGTCCAGCTGATATCAGTGTCTCTAAGTGCCAACCCTCTAATCACATAGTTTGTCTTTCTGGCATGGCCAGCCCCCATCCTGAGTCATCTCATCAGCATAAACTATCAGGTGTAGTCCAAGGACCTACCATAAATAACAAAGATCATTTAATCACTCAGGAAATTCTAAGGGTTTGGAGGTTACCTCTCAAGAACCAGGGACAAAGTCCAGCCATTTTTTTTTGTTGTACAAGCCACTCCTGGCCTTTGGCTGTTGTTCCCTTACAGAAAGATAAACATACCTGCCTGAGCATCTGCCATTGTATCAACATTAATGTAAATAACATTTGGTGGAGCCAAGATAGGGCAGTAAAGTAGGAAACTTTTTCTTATAACTTCATAACTAACTTCAAATATAAGAATCAGCATCAAGATGGTTCCAACCTCCCCATTATTTCTGACACCAGCCATCCCATGGCATTATCTCTCTCTCTCTACTGGGTTCAAGAATTTATTACAATGACCACAAAACTCACAGAAACCCCATACCTGCAATAATAACCTTAATAAAACAGGTAAGGATATAAACAAAGGATGCAGAAGGCGAGTTTTGGGCGGAGGCCTAACACGGAGACTCAGTATCTCAAAGGGGACCCACTTACCTTTCCAGGATCAGATGTTCACTCTCACCAGTCATAAAACTCTTAAGCAGGAAACTCTATGATGCATCTCAGTGGACTTCAGTGTTCGGCCACTCCTCTTGGAGAGCTCCTAGCTCCTGCTAGCTGGCTTCAGGACAGTTCTAGGCTGACCCCAGCTCTAGACCAGCCCCATTTCTAGGCCAGCATCACAACAGCTCTTGGAGCAGAACTGGTCTTGGGCAGCCCCCTGCTTAGACACTAAAGATCTGTGGGCAGCCCCCTGCTCAGGGTGCCCAAGTTCTGCTCTGCTCCACTCTGCTGCCATTGTCTGGTCCCACTTGTTGTCTCCGCCATTTCTAGCACCATCACTGCTGGTCCACAGCTCTAAGAATGTTACAGCTCTTTTGCACCCAGGTCTGGGACGGTTTGCTGGTGTAAGGCTTCTATGTCAAAATGAATGCACCACCCTCTCAGGTCTCAGCCAAGAAACCCTCAAAAATCTCTGTTTTGTCTGGGCCTGATCTCCTCTCTGACAGTTCTGCTTCCACTCCTCTGCCCAGCCCATCAGCTCTCCTGGCTGTGGCCTTTTCTGCTGGTCACTGCTGACTGCTCTGTCTTTACCTGGGTCCTGCTCTCCATCGGTGGTACAGCTCTTTTGCATATTTATAGCTCCTTACCAGGTCTGGGAGGATGCTCAGCACAGGGTCTCTATGTCTAGAAGAATACCCCTATCTTTCACTGTCATTGTTTAAGAGGCTCCAAAAAGCTTGTGTTTCAGCCTTTTATATGGGTTTTTTTTTTTTTTTTTTTTTTTTTTTTTTTGTCAATTTCAAGGCAGGGTCTTCCTAGCTGGATCAGTTAGCCCAACCAGTTCTCCTAGCTGGATCAGAGTCCAACCAACTCTTGAGTACCCAAGAAATGTCAATCAACTCAGGCCTTATCAATTACTGGGTGGCAGACCAAACAAAAGTAATAAACCCTCAGGTTGTTTACAGCTTACCCAGGAAATGTCAATAAACTCAGGAGATACCCTCCCAAGTTGTCCCCCCCCCCACCATAAACCCAGGACAAAAAGGTCACATAAGGGAACCCATGGTACCACAGGTAGGGACAGGAGGCTTTTAATTCATTTTCCCAATACATTTGCCCATCAATATCAGTATTACAATCTTACCAACAATGCCAGTGTTGTATCACATTGCAGTATGGTAGATGTAACCTGAAAGTTAAGAGTCAAAAGATGTTGGCACATTAGTAGGGTCCCAGTCACTCATTAACACTTAGTCCAGTCCCCTTAGTTCAGTCATATCATATGACCAAAATGTCTCCCAGGGTGAAGCTACTCAGTTGTGCAGGCTTCCATTCTATCTTGGCAGATTCCAAAAGCAGGGGTAATTATCTGGTATCATCAAGCTAAGAGGCAATATCATCTCTTACTCTGACCCTCTTTTGAGGCATTAATGTATGCGGGGTAAAGAATCTAGTTTTACCCTAAATAAATTATGGATAACATTTTGAAGAATGGGAATTCCAGAACAGTTAATTGTGCTCATGAGGAAACTGTACTTAGACCAAGAGGCAGTCCTTCGAGCAGAACAAGGGGATATCGTGTGATTTAAAGTCAGGAAAGGTATGCATCAGGGTTGTATGCTTTCACCATACTTATTCAATCTGTATGCTGAGCCAATAATCCGAGAAGCTGGACTATATGAAGAATGCAGCATCAGGATTGGAGGAAGACTCACTAACAACCTGCCTTATGCAGATGACACAACCTTGCT